CAAGAATTAGAAGAAGGTAAACAAGTAAATTAAACCAAGATTAAAGTTAGTCTACATTAATAGAAATGGATTTAATTGCATTCCATTAATAACTTTAACTTAATTAGAATTTCGCTCGGCAGTTCGAAGACGCCCCGATGTTGATAACGCGCGTTGATTCCTCACGACCAGAGTCCTCCCTAACCCGCGCCGAGGCCCAACCTCTGTCGCTCGCACGAGTGCGAGAGTGGCGCGGGATGGGAGGCAATCGAGTCAGGAATAAGTGGCACAGCGGACGGGACGTCTCTATTCGAGTATCGGCGATCACGCAACAGTAGCGGACAGATGATAGATAATCGCCGTCCTGTCTTTCGTAAGTCAGCGGAGCGCCCGACGAGCGGCCGACACTGCCGACATGTAAGTGCGAAAAAGTGGTTGTGGTTCAACCGGATCGCGGGGAACGCACCGAGGAGACCGGAGATCGTAACCGGTAATTGATCCCGCTTCGGGTTCCGGACTCGTGGATTAGCGCGTTTAGCGCGCGCCGCGACAATCCCGAGGCAATTTCCGACGCGATCGGCGTGAGACACTTTCTCTCTTACGTACCTACGCCATCGGAGAACGCGGTGTACCTTTGGTTCCCTTAACCTTCCCTCCGATCGCACGTACCTACCGATCTCTCTACGGTACGATGCGTTATATTATGTTTCTCGTATTCCTCGGTTCTATACCGGTTTTTCTATTTTGCGTTATTTGCGCGTCCACCAGGAGATCATCGAGAGATCATGCGGTGGTTGAAACGATCATGAAACGCTCGCATGTAATAAACGGAAGTAATTAACACCGCTCCGCTTCGTTGATTCGTTCGCGTCTATGATACGACTACTTATTTTCTGATTTTCCTGCTTTGTGACGATCATCGATAATAATAATTTCAGCGAGAGAGCAACACGAGGAACGTCGCGATCGAAAAAGTAGCAAAATTTTTTTTTATCGTTTATCTATCGGATAACATTTTTGAGATCGTGCACTTCTGCGGAGGATTATGTAGATATTTAACAGATAAAATTAAATATATAATTTAATAAATATAATCTGTGTGAGGTGTTTGTAGATTAGTGGAGTTATTGTGCACAAGAAACATTGTGCGAAGTATCTTATGTACAAAATTTGAAACATTGTATTATTATATTTTCAGATATCGTAATGTGACACATTCAAAGCAAACACAACAAACATTCTGTTTAAAATGGCAGCGATTTGTTCCGGACGACCTGGTTGGTTAGGAAAACTCGGAATAGCATTGTTAGCCACCTGGTTTTTAGTATTGATTATATCTATGGTTCATATATTTAAGTCCAATTCCTTGTCAAACCGTGATGCTAGTACTGCCAACAAAGAGAATACACAACGCTTAGCACAAATGGTTAACGACTTTGAAATTTTAAAGAAGCAAAATGACGCTTTGAAGAACTTTATATTAGGGTATGTTTTTGCATATGCATGTACATGAAACAGGAAAATTCAGTGACTTTAAGATCAAAATTTATCTTATTTATCTTATTATGGAGCACTGCGATCTTTTCATTATACAGCTAACATAATTTTTAGAGAAGGCTCAAAATCCATACAAGGTGATCATTTAGGTTCCATACAAGACAAATTTGAGAAAGCATCAGTCTATTATGATCTAATGGATCATCAAGATGGATCAAAACATGGCATTCCCTCTTCGGAATATGAAGAATTGCGACGACGATTGAGAAATGACATTCAGGAAATGTGGTAAGTATAATAATGGCTAATTAGACATTGTGATATACTATGCCTAATATATTACATGAAAAATTACGTTCTTAGTTTTGTACTGCAGGTACTACATCAGCGCAGAATTAAACAAATTTAAGAAGCATATTGATGAGTTCACATATGATCAGAGAGAAAAGGAAATACAAGATGTGATAAAAAATGCATGGGAACACAAAAAATCATTAATAATGAATATTGATAAGTTGAAAAAAGCAGATGGTTACAACGAATGGCGAGAGAAGGAAGCAAAAGATTTATCCGATCTCGTTCAGAGAAGATTTAGGTAATACAGCTTGCCAATGTAACATTGATGTATGATAGGAACTAAGTTATTTTTTTTAATTTTATTTATCTAATCTAATCTAATTTATCTTGTATTTGCTTTGAAGGTATCTGCAAAATCCTACTGACTGTAATAAAGCAAAAAAATTGATATGTAGTTTAAATAAAGGGTGTGGTTTTGGTTGCCAGGTAAGAAAATTGAATTATGATAATTAAATCTTTAAATGATCAAATAAAATAAATGTATATACTTTGCAGATTCATCACATCACATACTGCTTTTTAGTGGCTTATGGTACAGAAAGGACATTGATAATAAAATCGAAAGGATGGAGATATCACAAGGATGGCTGGGAGTCTGTTTTTAAACCCCTCAGTGATACTTGTGTGTCTACAACCGGTATCTCACATTCTAATTGGCCTGGAGATTCTTCTAAACAAATAATATCTCTGCCAATCGTAGACAATGTTTATCCTAAGCCAAGATTCCAGCCACCTAGCGTACCTGCAGACTTAGCGCCTAGATTAGAGAAGATTCATGGTCATCCTCTTGTTTGGTGGGTGGGACAAGTATTAAAATACTTGATGCGACCTCAAGATCACGTGAGGAATACACTGGAGAGGACGAAAGAAAAGCTCGGTTTTAAAAAACCTATTGTCGGTATTCACGTACGTCGAACCGACAAAGTAGGCACCGAGGCAGCTTATCATGACATAGACGAATATATGACTAAAGTAGAACAATATTTCGATGAACTCGAAACAAAGCCAGATGTGAGAAGAGTCTTTTTAGCCAGCGACGATCCAAAAGTGATTATAACAGCTAGGAAACGTTATCCCAATTACGAGATAATAGGCGATCCAGAAATTGCCGAAACGGCATCTGTAGCGAAGCGATATTCGGACACCTCATTGCAAGGAATAATTATTGATATCCATCTTCTATCGGAATGCGATTACTTAGTGTGTACGTTCAGTTCCCAAGTATGTCGCGTTGCGTATGAGTTAATGCAAACTTTCTATCCAGATGCGTATGACAGATTCACATCTCTCGATGATATATATTATTATGGAGGGCAAAATCCACATCCTCACGTGGCTATTTTAGATCACAAACCGAGGAAGAACGGAGAGCTAGAGTTAAAAGTCGGTGACTTGATCGATGTTTTTGGTAATCACTGGGATGGTTTCTCCAAGGGATACAACACTAGAACTAGTATGACAGGATTATTTCCTAGTTTTAAAGTTAAGAACCCCGTTGATGCTGTGGATTTTCCAAAGTATTCGAATATTCCTTTGCTGGAAAATAAAGATAATTAAAGAATGTCTGAGTAAAATCGATCTTTGAAAGACTGGATTATCGAAATTTCAATGACTCATTACTTCTTTGGATCAAATTAAGAAGAGATATTAGCAAAGATGACATGGCACGATGTATATATTTTGCTACTTGTAAACTACGATTTTAATGCTTGTAAATTCTTACAGATGTCCATGACTTGTCGAATAAGAGCTTAATGTATCTCTCGATTATATATATAGTTCCGTTCGATTTTAGAATTATAAGTATAATTTTTTCTTGAATGACGTAATGGAGATACAATTTTTCACAAATTTAAGATTTTTTACATATAAAACTATAATATGATTTGATATTGTGTAGATAATGCGTTTATATATAGAATATATATATAGAAATAAGGTCAAAATCCGCAAATATGTAGCAATATTTCTAATATTTTAATATATTCTCTCATTGGATGTTATTGTTGATTTAATTAAAGATTTATCTGAAGGAAATTAATTATGCCGAATTATTATATTTTTTAATATAACTCGAAATATATATATATATATTACATAAATATATATTTCGACATATTCGTAATATTATCGGCAAACCAAATTTGTTCTATATGGGTTCGAGAAGTTATCAGCATTTTATCAGCATTATCGCGTTATTTTATCTTTGATTTATATCTAGTAAATGATAAAGACAAAATGACGTAATAACGCTAATAGTGCGCTCCTCGCGACAAAGCCATAATGTACATAATATATGTAATAGATTGAAAATTATTATCGCGCGTATTGAAATATCCGACGTTTGTGCCAATGCATTATCGCATATGAAACCTGGTTAACATTTTGACAAACTGAAATTGATGAATCAGGAAATACGTAAAAAATATAATCAGAAGTTTCTTTCTACTGCGCGCTCCATCATATTTTGTAAATATATTCGCGAAATTATTTCGGCAGCGAACAAGCCGTCAATGTTTATTATTATTGTAACGACAGAATTATATAGAATATCCCAAAACGCTTTTGTATTTTGATAAAAAGTAAATTTTATATAAATTTCACAAGATGACATGTGTTTTATTTGATTGTACGTGTATATTTTCATACAAAATATGACCTTAAATTGCAAAAAATGATTTTATAAAATCCTTAACATCACTTTTATTTCTTTGCGATGCGATACTCCATTATAAAAATATTTGCGAAATCATCATAATTAAATTATGAAAGATAAAAAAGATAATATAAAAATTTTAATATATAATGCTTGTATTTTGTGAGTGGATAAATATGTCGATTAATAAATTTGAGATTCATGATACACCATCAAAATACAGACTTGGGATATTTATTTGTTTTACACACACACACACACACACACACACACACACATTTAGAAATTGCTAAAAAGAAGCTTAATGTATTATGCGTGATTATGTAAAATGTCTATATATATATATATATATATATTTTTTTTTATATATGTATGTATGTACGTATGTATAAAATAAGCATGTATGACATCGAGCTAGGCTTAGGGCCTACTTTCAATATAGAACTTTTTTCTTGTATGCATATTGTAATTTTATACGCAAAACGCAAACGAGAATTGTTATAAAATCTGAATTTGATTTTGACAAATAAATATTTAATTCACGAAATGCATCATATGTATATCCGCTTCCTTAATGTTAAATAAAACTTTTTTTTATATATAAAAATAATTTGAAAAAATTTATATGCAATTGTATTCCAAAATAATGATTTATTATAATCATAGTGATGTTATATATTTCATAAAAGATGAATTAAAATATTTTTTCATTATATCATCAATCCAGTCCTATGTATATATATATAAAATATTAACAGCAATTCATTGTACATCGACAAAATTTTTTATATTATTTATTTATAAAGAAAATTACATTAGTAATCATCTTTAGTCCTGAACGCAAATTGTGTAAAAAGAAGCTATCTTGACCTCTTTTTAATGCAAGAAACTTTGACAATATAATATAAAAACTTCAATGGTAAAAGCAAGCAACATGCTGTTCTAGAACAAACAAAAATGGACAACATAGTCTCACGCACATCACGCGGAAATTTTATATTCGATTACTATTAAAATATCAGTATTTTTTTCTCTCTCACTCTCTCAACTCGCGATCACATTTAATTATATTAAGCTTGAATTACAAAATATCCTCGCAATGCAATAAATACAATAACTGTATTTTATTTTTATACGTCATATTTCTCGTTTTATACATCGTTTGATAATGAGAAATTAATGAGATCATAGAAAATTTAGAAATATTTACATCTACTTTGAGTTTTTCAACTCACGACAAACTAAATTTTAAAAGATACAATAACAAATAATGTCTCGAGATAGAAGATGCGCTTACATGATTATAATTTTATCTCCAGTTTATTACTATAAATCTGTAATTTGTATTCTTTTTTGGAAAAAATAGACTGAACCATCACTTATCTGGTATCTGTATGTGTTGCGAGTACTCATTGCTTTAGCCATGGTGAGCTTAATTCTATTCTTAAAAATATGCTTGTATTAAGTGGTTGAAACCAGATCTCTTTATAAATTTTGTATACATTTCGTTCGCAGTATGGAAGAAAATGATTTTATTGACGAATTGTAATATACGCACGGAATAGTCAGAATAATTTCCAGTGTAGAAGATATATACCAAATATTCTTCACAAATATTGACTAGGTTTATCTTTACACGATATAAATGTAATCAACGATCTGATCACAATCAAAAACAAGAGTTTATATAACTAATATCATTTTTTTTAACTTATTTTATAAATTCAAAATACGTATACAAGATGGTCTATCGTAATTAGATAATATTTTAACAGCATATATTATAGATAGAAAAGGCCAATATATGGTTATCTTAATATTGAGGAATTAATATAATATAATAATAATCTTTTGAATTATAAACGACTAAGAGGAATTTTTACTGGATTCAAAGTTTCGGAAATATAAATAACAAAATATTCTATTTGATTTTATTTCAACAGAAATTTATTTAATATTTATTTTTATCAGTTTTATCAATAGTTAATAAAAAGTATTATAAATAATTAAGATAAATAACGATCAGTCCATCATTTGAGATGAATTTGAGATTTTGTCTAAAAACCTATCATTAAAATATTTTTCATTGACGGTAGACCAAAATATCATAAAATATAAATTACGATTTATTGTCACAATAATACTAACATATTTTTTTGCAATTTCCTATTTAAATCTACATGTTATATCTGTTGAAAATAATTGATTCGATAATTTTAAAAAATCTCTGGTAATTTCATAGAATCACTAGCTAATGTTTCTACAGAATCACCGGCAATTTTATGACAAACCAATTCTCACTATATAACATATGGATGCACATGTATTTTTCCTATGTAAAGATAATTTTATATAACAATTTAATCATGATTAAAAAGCAATAGTAGACATATTACAAATTATAAGATTTATGTTCTTCAATTGATTCTAAAACATTTCCATGTTAACAATAACATAATGCACAGAAAGTGTAATATATAAATTTTAGTTATAATATATATTACACAACTTTATATTTTATATGATGTGAAAGACAGTTTAGTTTGGTAAATTATAAATTAACAAAAAAAAGTCTACTCTGTTAAGATAGAACTCAACGAATACTGGAAATTGAATTCTGACTTTACACTAAATAAAATTACAAATTACAGCATTCTTATATAGCGCGGTCCTTCCCAATTTGCTAAAATGACTATACCTGAGAAATGAATGTCTGATTTACATTTACGCTATACAGCTAAAAGACGGGCTTTCGTCTTACGTAGATTTTTTCGTTTTTTGCAAGTCAATTTATATGCAAGTGAGAAGCAAATTAAACACGCTCTTCATCTTCGTAAAATATGATTGTCATTCTACTATATCTCTCTTATTGATTTTGCGTTCGTCTTTCTCCAATAATATTTTCTAATTTCCGTGCAACAAAAGTTGTAGTTTTTTTAGGAGATGGACCTTCTGTCATTTCTACATCAGTGTCATCGGCAAGTAATCGTTTTCCCACACTTTTTTTCGCATCTACAGATATCATCATCTTATTAATAGCTTCTAAGTCCTGAAAAAGGAAAAACAACAAATAGGAAATAGACTTTAATAGCTTAAAGATATAAAAATGATTTATAAAATTTAGAGATTTCGATAAAAGTTTATTTTACCTTAGCAGGACTACGACTGAAGCAGTAAGTTAATTGTGGTGCCGGTGATGCACTTATAGCCCTTGGGTTAAGAGTGCGTGTCATAATACTACTAGTGACACGCCTTACTGGAGAATTAGCAGGTGCCTTTCCTTTCGGTAAAGGACTCAACGAGAGATTCATGACGCTACCACGAGCCGATCCAAATTTATTCGCAAATTCTTTGACTTGCGGAACGTACACTGTGTTGTAGAATTTGATTAAGTCGCCGCGTTTCTCTCCGTCAAAGTTTTGCGACGTTCCGGCCATATTTGTTGGTGTTGGCGGAGTTACATTCTCTCCCAACACACTATTATCCTCCGATCTTTCATTATTGCTCGTATTCGAATCTCCATCGTTGGGAACTTTTTCAATAAGCACCGATCTATATATATGTGATTCTGCCTGTGGCTGCAGACGATAGCACCGCATAATTTCGGTGAAGGAGTTCTTCTCCATCTTAACCAATTTACATATTACATAAATTGCACACATTAAGATTTGATCGAGATGTCGGTCTTTCATCAATTCGGTACGTTCCTTGACGGAGTATTCAAAGATCGTCCAAATCTTTTTCTTGTCGTTATCCAATATTTCCAACGAATTACACAAGTCTTGCATGCGTACGCATGCAAGATTGTAGAACTTTCGAAAAAATAGCGCGACGGAACCCGTCCTTCTGGGTCTAGCTGCATCTCTGTTCGTTGCTTGTGCAGTATTGTTTGATTGCGTGCCCGACACTCTCGAGACGGTAAGCTGATCGGGTACCAAAAGTATCCTTTGGCCATTATCTAATACCATTCTATTAGAAGATAATACACTCTGCCCGACACGAAGAACGCTTTGACCCGTGACTCTGGTCTCAGAAAATAATCGCTTTTTTGCTACACCAGATGCTGCGATAGGAGACTGAAATCTAAATTCTATATATAACTTTTATAT